GGGCGTCCTACATTCCTGTGGCCCTGATCTAACTGGCTGTACATTAGGATCTTGGGTATCCTGTCATCAGACATTCTCAAGACATGACCAGTCCACCGTAACTGAGATTGTATGATAAAAGTCTCGATTCCTCCAATATTACACCTGTTAAACAGGTCTACGTTAGATATCCTATCTTGAAGCTTAACTTCACAGATTGAACGCATACAGCTTTTATGGAAAACATCTAGCTGACGTATATGGTACCTGTATGGAGTCCACAACTCTGAACCATGCAAAAGGATGGCAAGTACAACAACTCTGTAAACCCGAATTTTCGTATCCAGTCGAATAACCCGCTCATTCCACAAGCGATGTCGAAGTTTGCCGAAACCACTGGTTGCCTTAGCAATCAGATGCATGATTTCATCATCTAAAGTTCCACTGTAATTTTGCTACCAAGATAGGTGAAAGACTTTACATAGTTCAGGGCTTTGTCTTCTACGTTCAATGATGTCTCTAGAAATTTGTAGACTGGTGGTTTTTGCTTCTCACCACAGAATTGCTTCGGAGTAGGACAAGGTTGGTGCACAACAAGTTTTCTTTATGCTAAGTGTAAGACCAAATGCTTTACATGCTGCAGAGAAACGATTTATATATATATATATATATATATATATATATATATATATATATATATATATATATATATTTGCATGTATATCCCTTCCTTTCTCTTTCCCTCTCTCTTTCTATATATATATATATATATATATATATATATATATATATATATATATATATATATATATATATATTCCTTTCTTTCTCTCTCTTTATATATATATAGTTTTAAGGTATGCTATATGTATGGGTTAAAGTGCTCAATATCAGTGATAGAGCGTATGTAAATATAAAAAGAGTGTAAATATAAAAGGAAACATTGAAATCAACACCCAGATGCGGCAGTTTATTTCATACTAAATGCAATCTTCATACCATGAACTAACCATTGTGTTTACCATGAAACAAACTGTCGCCTATGTGTGTTGACATCAGTGTCCGATATATATATATATATATATATATATATATATATATATATATATATATATATATGTGTGTGTGTGCTTGTGTGTCTTTGTGTGTGTGTCTTTGTGTGTGTATAGACATCTATCTATATATATATATATTTGTATATATATATATATATATATATATATATATACATTTCATTGAATACGACAGACAAGGTGCATTGATTTAGTCTTTTAAACAATTTCTCATGTCATCTAAATTTGTTTTTCTTTGTGTGTGTATGCTTGTGTGTGTGTGTCTTTGTGCGTGTCTTTGCGTGTGTATATCTATCTATCTATCTATCTATCTATCTATCTATCTATCTATCTATATATATATATATATATATATATATATATATATACATTTCATTGAATACGACAGACAAGGTGCCTTGATTTAGTCTTTTATACAATTTCTCATGAGATCTAATATTTTTTTTTTCCCTTCAGATGATAAATTATGAAAAATTGTCTGAATCTTCTAATCCGAGCGCTTTCGGTTATACATTTCACCATTTTAAAGGTTGAAATATATTAACAAGAAATAGTTTGTTGCCTGTTTGTATTTTTATAATGTTTTAATTTTCAAAACATGGTGAAGATACTGTGTCCATCTTCATAGTTGATATTATTGGGTGTTTGTTTTTGTTTTTATTCATAAGGCTTCCATTATTTTTAGACTTTTTTGCATATATATATTTGTATATACATATATATATATATATTTGTGCATATATATATATATATATATATATATATATTTGTGTATATATATAGACATCTATAGATAGATAGATAGATTGATAGATATGTGTGTGTGTGTGTACGTACTAACTTAAAAGACGCCCAATTGGTTGCTATTTTTGGTAGCTCCTATGGACGGCTCTTCATTGGGCTTTCGGCCTACTTCAAGAGTTTGCGATTCCCTAAGTCTTTACATATTCCCAGCATTGGAAGCTCTCCTGCCTGCCGTTTAATCTGTGTTTTCATTTACACGGGGCTTTTTTTTTCTTCGCTGCAGGCTTTACTCATTTGATTCCACTCTGGTCCTCTGTTGACGGAGATTTCTTTTTATGGGGCAATAATGAACTACAGAAGAACTCAAAATTGATTGCTGCATTTAAGTATTGCATTATGGACGCATGTCCTAACTTTCCGTATAAACAAATACTTTTATTTCATGGTGATTTTCGCTGAATTTCACAATTAATTTCGATAATTCTGAAATTTAGTTGTTTTCGTACAAAATATTTCCTCGCAAAAATCACGTAAAATTCGACGAAAATGATCGCTGTAACCTAGGAATCCATTATTTCAAGTGACACACTGTATTGAAAGTTAGAGAGTTGCGTCCTTTTAACTGTTGTTATCAATAGAAGCCTAGAATCCATGATAGCGGAATCCGAAAACCATCGCAGTAATGAAAACTTGTAAATACAAAATTCCATGATTGCGGTTCCGAATCCGGCGAGGACTATTTTTAATTTGCCCACGGAATCGGCTTGATTCGGAAATAGTATGAAATTTTTGGATACGTCTTCTAGGTGTATAGTTGAAAAATTGTGACACACTGACATTCGCATATATTGTATATATATATATATATATATATATATATATATATATATATATATATATATATATATATAGATGTATATATATATATGTGTGTGTGTGTCTGTTTATATATATATATATATATATATATATATATGGCAGAACACGACTCACAACAACATTCTATATTCTTACTAGTTTTAAGTCCAGTTTCCCTCGTCCGTTTAGACAAGCTTGTTGAGCAGTTTACTCGGTGTATTCTTTTCCTTTTACAGCATTAATATGCCCTGTGTGTGCGAAATTCTCGTAGCTCCGTTATGTGTCTCTGGAATTTCAACTGTCGCTTTCTGATTATAATTACAAGTGTCTTTTTTGTTTACATCTTCCTTCGTTGTTGCTCACAGGTTCCGTCCCAGCATCCTATCGTAGAACTACGTCTCACTTCCCCGAGTCTTTTCTTTATACGTGACGAAATGGTACAGCATTGACTGTTGTTTTGGAAGATCGCTGTTAAATTCAAATTCAGCCTTCTTTTCTTTGTGTCTAACGGGATATTCCTGTCTCTTAGATAGATGGATTGGTAAACACAAAGAAAGTGAGAAATGTTTAGTTTAGCGAAAAGAAAAATGATGGTATTCATCAATCTACGTATTTTATCTTATACTCTTCTATAATAGCGATCCCATTAATGATTAATATTTTACTGAATTTTCATATTAGACACATTGTCACCATTGTAATTATTTCTTTGTCTTTTCCTCACCATGAACATGCAATGTTATCAGTTTTACCACATCTTTGCCTTTGCGTCTAAAAATGAATAATATTTCCGCTTTGAAGTACTTTTACTCTTTTTGTTGTCCCTTTATCATTCCTCTTGATCAGAACTTTCTTTTCCATGTTTTTATTATTATTATTAATTCTGCGTGTGTTTATATATAATAGAAACATCTATCACCCTTCGTGGTAAAACGATTCTTCAGCAGCAGTTTGTCCTAACGGATGGGTACTCTCAAAAACTTAGCTACAAATTCAGACACACGAAAATCGTGTTTTGCATGATATAAACAAAGAAAAAAAATGAACAAAGCTTTTCTCCTTTGCCTTGTAATAAATTTTGTCAACTAAAGCTATTGGTTCCGTTTTATCGTGTTGAATCATGACAGAGAATGTCATATCCAATTCGAACATTTCATGCCGTATTTTGTAAAGATGGCTGGCTGCGTGGAAAATAATTGGTTTATATTACAGCGCGAAAGTAAAACAAAGCATAGAAATAAAGATATGTTGGCAATGATTCATTGAACCGATTGTACGATCATAAATATTATAAATAAGATGGCCACCAGAGGGAAAATGACACGGAACAGAAGACGAGAAGAATTGAAATGCATACCGATTTGTTGTTATTACTTTTATTACTATTTCTGGCGATGGGGAAAAGTTGAAAGTTTCGATCTTTTACTGGAAATGACAGCAAGCAAAAATTTTATTTGTGTAATCAAATTATTGTCAACATTCGAATTGAACTCTCTCATTCTCTCTGTTTCTTTTCCAACACACGTACACACACACACACACACACACACACACACACACACATATATATATGTGTGTGTGTGTGTACGTTTTGCATAAACGAATACATTTACCTTTCTTCCTATCTCTCCTTTCTTTCTTTCCGTCGCTCTCTGTCTTTATATATATATATATATATATATATATATATATATATATATATATATATATCAAGAATGAAACATGAATCGATTTAATATATATATATATATATATATATATATATATATATATATTTTATATAGGAAATATATGTCTACCTTCCACCGTTCTCTCGTTATATATATATATATATATATATATATATATATATATATATATAAAACACATACTAATATAAGTAATTATATATATATTAATTTATTTACTATTTTATACTATAAATTAATATATATATATATATATATATATATATATATATATATATATATATATATATATATATATATATATATATGTGTGTGTGTGTGTGTGTGTGTGTTATATCTATGTGTGTGTGTGTGAGAGAGAGTGATTTGTATATTTACGTTAAAAATAATGTTCACTATTGGGAAACGAACTTTTTAGATATAAAGAATTTAGGCATCTATATGTTTATCTATCTATCTATCTATATGTATATATATATATATATATATATATATATATATATATTTTATATATATATATATATATATATATATATATATATGTTTATATATAACATTATACCGTTTAAAATTTGAAATTATATTTATGGTGGAAGTCTGCTTAACATTGTGGATACAGTGTTTGTAGGTATAAGCTTTGTGTACTCGTGCATGTTAAATGCATATATTTTTCTTTCTTTTTTTTTCTTTTTTTCTATCTATCTATCTATCTATCTATCTATCTATCTATCTATCTATCTATCTATCTATCTATAATCTAGGCCCGTAGAAGTAGCATGAAAATAATTTTCTACTTTATTTGTGCAATTAATTCTGTGGGGATTACGAATTTTATTGGTTGAATATTGAAAATTCAGCTATTACCAGCGTATCAAGCTACGGTTTCTTGATCAACTTTAGTAGAGAAATAACTGATAGGCAGGTTTCAATAACTAATCAAACATGTGTGGGTGGATCTATAGTACTAAACTATAATTCTCAGAATAAAGCATTTTATACAAGAATTGCTTTTTTTTATTGTCTATATAATATATTTCCTTGTTCTGCTTCTATAAAAAAAATCTATCAGCAAAAAGCTAGACCCTTCTATTATTGATTCGACATCTGTATATAAGCTTTTCATTTTTCTTTCCAGTTCCACACGAGTTCGTTATATTCACTTTCAATCAAATTCCCTTGGAAAGGGTACACATCCTCCTCTTCTTCCCTCAAGCTATGGATTAAATAGAGAGGCTAACGGATTTTTCGCCTTGGTTGACAGATAATATAAATGAATTCAAACTTGACGAGGACACTTTCGAGATTTACCATTTCTTTTTAGCCGTCCTTAAAAAGTGTGTTTGGTTCTACACAAGCGATTTACATGAATGTTAATCATATATGTAGATACTCAGACATTTCAGTTATAAACTCTCTCTGTTTATATATATATATATATATATAAATATATATATATATATATGTGAAAATTTCTCCGATTTAATCGGTAGAGAAGACAATATTTATGAATAAAAATGACAATAGGAAAACTGGTAATTGCTGACGCGTTTCGTCCAATGTGGACTTTATATCATTTTCGTATTTTGCTTTGATAAAGTCCACATTGGACGAAACGCGTCAGCAATTACCAGTTTTCCTATTGTCATTTTTATTCATAAATATATATATGTATATATATATATATATATATATATATATATATATATATATATATATATATATGTATGTATATATATATGTATGTATATATATATATGTATGTATATATATATATATATATATATACACGCAGCCTATTTTCATTCAAGTCCGTTTTATTATGGTTCCACGAATTAATTTCTTCGTCACTGTAGAAAAATGGATTGAAAAAATTCAAAATTTTCTTCCAAATAATTTTTATTTTTCCAAGTATGTTCAATCTTATATGAGACTATCTTCAGCGGGTTTAGGTATAGTAAGTCCATGAATTAAAATATTTTTTCACTGACCGTTTACAGCGAGTCAAATTCAAATTGTTTCCCCAGTGCTAGGATGTTAACTTTTGTAATTAAAAAAAAAAAAAGATTTTTTTAATTATATTCTAGTCTAGTATTTTTTTATGTAAAAGTTTGCTGCTACAACCACTTAAGAATTTTGTTACTATATTTGTAGTTATTTTGGTCATAATTCGCTTATATAAAGGGCTTCCAGATTTTTAAGGTGTTCTTCTTAATATTTTGAGGAAGTACTAATGTATTTTCGACTAGGATCTGTGTAAAAAAAGGAATTTAGACATGAGTGCCCCTTTAAACGTTCTGAGACTGAATTATGAAAATGTGAAAAAGTTTTTGGCTTCGTCAGAATAAGGAGAGAAATTTCAGAAACAAAAGATGGACGCTGAGAATTTAAAATTTAAATTATTTATATAAATATTTTGAAAATATAATCCAGCCGATTTCATTTGTTTCAAGTTCTTTTTGTCCATGTTTACATGATTTTTGTAATTAGATATTTTACATTGTGATAATAGAAGTAGTTCCGTAAAATTGTTCTTGATATATTAAAACTTATGTATTGTTTTCCCATATATATATATATATATATATATATATATATATATATATATATATATATAGCGATACATAATTTTATATACCAGAAGCAGTATTTAGAATAATATGACAAACTGTAAAAAAAATTTATCGGATGAAACATTTTTCCAATTTGTCATACCATTTTTATATATATATATATATATATATATATATATATATATATATATATATATATATATATATATATATATATATATTGTGTGTGTGCGTGTGTGTGTATATATGTATGTGTGTGTGTTCGTGTGTGTTGAAAAATACGTATAGTACAAATAAAGATAGTAATGTTTATAGAAATATTTAATCATCAATATAATATTCCCTGTTTCCTTGAACCTTATTCGATCTCTCATCAAGTATACAGATACTACGTTTATAAAATTCATTAGGTTTTCATGTTCAACCGCTTCTCTTGATAACAACTTTATTCTATCCCGTTACTTGTGAAACCCCTCAAACAAGTGATAATCAGACGGAGTGAAGTCCGGGGAATGGGGAGGATGAAGCATTTTTTCTCAATCGAACTCATATTAGAGATCCTTAGTCAATCATTTGACCCGAGAACCGACATTATCGTGATGGAGGATGACTCCCTTTCCGTTGACTAAGGATGATCATTTTCTCTTCAAAGCTGCTTTTTGTCGATTGTATGATAACTGTTCATAATGGATCATTCATTGAATATGCCATTATACACAAAAATCTACTTTGGTTGACATTTTCTTCTCATTTGCTGTTTCCATGATTTACTCACTGACGACAACGCGTAACATTATGGTAAATGATCCATTTCTTATCACTGAGTATTAATCAGTGCATATAGTACAACTGGGGTTGTTGTGTAAGCAGTTATTCACGAAAATCGATACGTTTTGAATTTTTCTTTTTGGTGATTCTTTGGGGACAGGTCGTGCAGGAGCCCTTATGCAGCCACCGAAATCTTTTCACATTTTTCAATTCGCGTAGGACTGACTTATGACTAATATTAAATTTCTAACTGAGTACCATAGTAATTATAGTATTTGCCGTAACAACATCCTCAAGACATTCTGAAGAGTACATTGAATAAAAGAAATTTAAACAGCTATAGCATATTTCTCTCATCCTTTAACATCAATACATGGAAGGTTATTCCTGAGTATGAACCGGTTTTATTAAAAATTAGCAGACATAATGTCTTTAATATATATATAAGTAGCTCTAAAGATTCGCTAGAAAATGAGCATACATGAAAAATGCTCCCACATTTATAAAATAGTTTTACCGTTAAAATCATTAGGTTATTATTAAGAGGAAAGATCAAATAAATTTTTGATTATTAAATTATATGTCTTTTGTATTTTTTTTCTTACGTAAGCGGGTGACCATAAATTAGTCTAGAAAATTTTAGCGTCGTTTTGAAGTGAAAAACACATTGATTTAGAAATTCTTGCACAAATCAAATACTTGTCGGATTTTAATGAAGGTTTCATGACTAATTCCCAAATTAACGTGCGTTTTTTAAACGTAATATTTTTTTAGAAAATCTCTGTAAAAATATTTTTTATAACGTATTTTCTCTGTAGCCAATCATCTGTGTGAGGACCTAATCCTCGTAAACTTCTAAATGTTAACTATCAAATCCCATACATTTTTTTTATTATCTACATTATTCCTTACCGGATTTTTATACCACGCCATGCGGTTTGCTTACACGTCGTAGCAGTAGTATTAATAATCTAAAGTCGTTTGAAATTGTTACATGAGTCATTGTCCGTATTAACATTTATTATTACATTTTCTTTCATTATATTATTGTTGATTTTATCCTAACGCTCACGTTGCTTTACATTCTTTGATTAGAAGTAATGAGCTTATATATTCCTCTATTTTCGATTCATGCTGCTTGCAGAAGAAAAAATATGACATAGTTTTGAAGTTAATAAAAAAGCAAAAATTGAAAAATGTGTGCAAAAAATTATGACGAAATTTCAAATTCTGTGTATTTCGTGGTATACAAATTCCAACAGCGACTCAGTAGTATTCAAATGACAAGTTTTTCAGCGCAGTCAAGAAAGTTTTGTTGAAAAGTAGACATTTCTTTTCCTATGGAAACAATATAATTTATTGCATGTCATCAGGTTACGTGCTGCAGCTGACTTTAGGGATCTTGTCATTGTTTTTAGATTTAGTTTCATATTCTTTCAACAGGTTTTAAAATAACGAACGATCTTGAGGTGCTTTCGTAGCGCCGTTGGCATTGTTACGGTTACAATGGCGTGACCTTATCGTAAATAAAAGGTCTTCGTCAGTGGAACAATATATCTTATCGGGGCATATCTAAAACACGAACAGACTTTGAAAAGTCGCCAAGAAAACAATCCTTCAAAATGAATACAAAGTGTAAGGGATTGACTGGAAATTATATATATATATATATATATATATATATATATATATATATATATATATATATATATATATGTGTGTGTGTGTGTGTGTGTATGTGTGTGTGTGAGTGTGTATATATAACACAAAACTATATCACATACAGTGTAAAAAACGATTACAAATAAGAGATGCAGTAAACATAAAAAAAACAAGCAAAACAAAATTAAACGATATGGAAGGTAGGAACAGAATTATTAAATATAATTTAATAAAATAATAAAAATCTTCGAGTGGCGGTTGCATAATTTCGCTAAGTTCTGGCATAGTTCCGGGTGGATATTCTTAAAGACAACTACTAGAATTTTGTTCAAACCTGTTTCTTCCTTAGGCTGAAGACTTTTGAAAAGTCTTGAGGTGTAATAAAAATAATACTAAGATTGTGCTCAGTGTAACGGGAGAATTCGCGAGGAGGATTTCATATGATTTATAATGTTGATTTGTGGCAAAGATTGAGACTAAAAGCCTTATCTGATGAGAAATATATGACTTCTGTACCATTTCTAATACCATAACGGTTTGCCTCTATTCTTAATCTGGTTGTTGATCTTTCAGAACTCTCAGGATCCAACTTGTTTATTTTTAACTTTGGCCTAGACTGCTTGTGCATAGCTACGCTTTGCATTTCCCAGTTAAATATCGCGTTATCATTAGGTGCAAATAAAGCAGAGTTAGGTGTTTGGATATTTTAACGTGACATCTACCTGAATTACCGATAACCGTCTCCTAACTAACAACTTAATTAGT